AGCCTAGTTCCTGCTTGACAAAGGCACAAGACAGGGTCATTATTAAGAGCAAAGTGGGCAGGAGTCCGTGGGAGAGGGTGCCGGGGTGGGGGCAGGGAGGCTTTGGAGAAGGTTCTGAGGAATGGTCAAGGTTCCACCAGGTGGGAAGGGCATTTCATGTAGAGGGAACAGCATGTGCAGAGACCCGAAGGCATTAATGATGCTGAGGGGCCTGGGAGGTGGGGGAGCAGGGCCAGAGAGGCGTGCTGGGCAAGCCTTGTGGGCGTCAGTACTCTGGCCCCGGGCAGGGAAAGCCACCCAAGCGTGTGGACAAGCCTTTGTGAGGTTGGGTTTGGGGAGGGTCCCCTTGGTGTGTCCCTTTGGTGTTCCCTCGGGCCCTCAGGAGGTGGTGCCGGTGGTCCTGGTGGCAGGTGAGGCCGGCTGGGGCTGGGACGGGGCATGGAGGAGAGAGAAAGCCTGGAAACGCCTTCCTTTGTGTGCTCAAGCGTGTTGACAGGACCTTGCCACTAGATGCTGTACCAGGCAGCCAGTGTGCCCATACTGGTTGGGGGGGAGGGGCTTTCATAGTCTAGGGTGGCGATGGGTCTGTGCAGGGAGCTGTGGGAGTCCAGGAAGCACACTGGACTTAGGCCGCGGCATGTCCCGGAAGGCTTCCTGGAGGAGGAGAGAGAATGGCAGCGAGCCAGGAGGAGGCGCAGGCGTGACCGTATAGGGGTGGGGTGTGAGGTGGGAAGTGGAAGGAACCTAGGCAGAGAATTCACTAAGCCGGGTTCCTGCTGGGCAGGGCCTCTGTCTTCCTTTCAAGCTAAGGAGCGAGTTGCGGCTGTGCTTGTGAAGGAGATGACCTCCATGACCTTTACAGGAGGCCAATGACCTTGAAACCCGGTGGAGGGTTGAGGGCGAGCCGAGTAGTCGGGTACTCGTGTTGAGAGGCCCCTCGGGGGAAGCGGGGGAGGCTAGGAGGCAATTGAGAAGGGTGTTCGGGCCAGCGGGGGCCCGTGCCACGGGGGAGGGTGGGCTGCGGACGGGGAATCGAATCTTCCAGCTGAGCACAGGGTCCGGGTTCATCCCTGTTGTACAGAGGTTGCTGGGATTCAGAGAGAAGGAGTGATTTGCCGGGAGACCCCTCTGAAGGAGAAGAGTGGGGAACACACTGTGGGGCGCGCCCAGGGCTAGGCGTTGCGCAGGGCAGGCCCCGGGGGAATGTGAGAACGGGGGCGTGGGTGAGAAGGCAAGGCCGAGAAGCTGTCTGCGGGGTCCACTCTGTAGGACGTGACTGAGAGATGCTCTCAGGCCGACCTGGCTTAGAGCCCAGATCCCCCGCCTACCAGCTGTGTGGTTAGGGGCGAGTTGCTTCCTCACCTATAAGACGGGGTAAAAATGGCACGCCTTACAGGATCCTGTTAG